GCAGATTGCATATATTTTCAGCTCTTATGTCTTGCATGAGAGTATTTTGAGCAAACATAAGACAGTTTTAAAAAATAGCAATATTTATTAGGAGAGAACGAAGAAGGATGAAAAACACCATCAAGGGAGAGAGTCCTCTGTGAGAACTCATTCCAGCATTTGCCTTTTTTGGATGAGATTTATCAGAAGGTCCCACCCAAGTTAGTGTCTCTCTCTCTCTCTCTCTCTCTCTCTCTCTCTCTCTCTCTCTCTCTCTCTCGGCTCTAGATTGATGGATTACATTAGTTAACCAGCCTAAAGGCATTCTTGGTTATCTTGGCTCACAGGTCCTAATTGGAACTCGTTTTACAGAATTTATAATTGGTGGGCTCCAGTCTTAATCATCCTGCTGTCCTAGATCTGGAATCTCTGGTCTGGGTATAAGGCCATGCTTAAGATGTTTTAGCAATTAGACTCTTGTGAGTGAACATATCCTTGTCCTTTGGTTCTTGCCTCCTGATTTTATCAATCTTCCTCCTTTTTGTAAAAGTGATGGTTTGTAGTGCTCAGATCAGGCAAGGGTCCTGAAATAGCTATCTTCTCAGACTTTGTGGTGCTACTGAAGCAGAACTGTTGAGATTAACCAACCAATTTACTCTGCAGTAGATATTTTCTTAAATTTCTGACCCACTGCTCATGTGTAATTGCTACCTAACACCCTGCTCACACTGTTTTTTCTAAAGTGCACATTGTAATAGCTTCTGACATTAGGTACAGATGGTTATTTTGAGGTGTTTTCCTCTTTGCTGTGCTGGGGATCAAACCCAGGGCTTCTCACATGCTAGGCAAATGTTCTACTGATGAGCCACACCCCCACCCCTTTTGTTAGTTCTTAAATGTTTGACAACATCTCTATTTGCTTTCCTCAAGTCTGCTGAATAAGAATTTAAAGTTAATTTTTTTTTCTCAAACATATACCTACTATGTAGTTTAGCTACAGATAGGCATCTACTTAAGGAAAATGATACGTATTTCCAACAAAGATGTGTACACGAATGTTCATAACTATTAGTCCCCCAATTGGAAATGCCCAAATGTTCACCAATAAAGTGAATGGACAAATGATTATGGTATACCCATACAATGAAATGCTAAGCAAAAAATTCATAGGCTATCAATATTCAAATATCACACATGATTCTCAAAATCTTTACGTTGATTGAAATAAGATAGGAAAATATGATTGCATATTGTAAGATTCCATTAATATATAAAATACCTATAAAAACCAAAACTAATTTATAAAATGACAGAAAGCAGATCAAAGTTTGCCTAGGGAAATAGAGAAATATATAACAAAGTGGGTTAAGGAAACTTTCTATGCATCATGAAAATATTGAGTATGGTTGAAGGAGAGTCTTGTCACTGACCTAACCAACTCTATTTTGTTCCTTTCTGAATTTATTTGCCTATTAAACATATTTTCTTCCTGAGATATTTTCTTTTGTAGTTACCTTGGATTCCAGGAACTACAGGCCTAACTGATGATCATCTTTATAACGAGGGACTGAAGCTAACCTTGAGCTACAGCAAGCCTCACAGCACAGATCACCCCATGATGAGGTTGCCCCCATAAGTGGGAGCAATAACTGCATGATGAACGAAGCTGCTTCCCTAAGCTGGAGCAATCATCACAGGATCAGAACCAAATTGCCCTTTCATGTGATGATGACTTCAGAGCCTCATAGAACCAGTCTGCTTGATAATTATCAACCAGAAACCTGACCAGGATGACTTACTCTACCATCTATACAACACCCCAAGCCATATGAGCCCACAACTGTTGTCTTTGTTCCCCTTTTCTACAAAACCTCAAAGTTTCTGTTAGTCCTTGAAGACAAATCTTTAGTAACTATTAGACAAGAAGATAGACCACCCATAGTCACCCAGGAAAAGGGTCTCAAAGAAGAAAGAAGATAAGAGAATGCGAAATCAGTCTTCTGACTCCAGCTGGTCCTAGCCACAAGGACACAAGGACAATTCCTTAACAGTCCCTAGACATGACCAAAATGTTCTCTAAAGCACTTCCTCTTGCACCAACAAACCTTTACCCACTCCCTCAGCCTTGTGCTAATAAAGCCCTAGAAGTCACTTTTCTCCAGAATTACTGAAGAAGACAAAGTTGATTGGCCCCTTTATGAATCCTGTATTTATATGTCATCCCGCCAGTCATCTACAGGGACAGATTAAACCCAGAAAGCCCCGTAGACAACAGACACCCATTATCAACCCTCTCTTATTCCCGCTTCAGGATTTGTGCTTTCTATTACTCTAATAAATCCTGTTACTTTACACTCATCCTTGTGTCTCTGGATTTCATTCTTTGAATTTGTGAGACAACTCACCTGACAACCACACTCCATGTTACAACCATACCCTTATATCTGTTCTTCCTAGCATGGCCACATTCATTAAAAGCTCCTTTCCTGGCCTTCACCACTGCTTTTCTTTTATTGACATTGGAATGAGTGGCAGAACCTGGTCTGTTGGGATGACCAGGGACAGAGTCAAGGATTCCAAGGAATCCAGTAACATGGTGATGGTTTCAATGAAAAAAAATATATATATATATATATATATTTGAAGGAGAGCCTAGTCACGACCTAATTCAACTCCTGTGTGTGTGTGTGTGTGTGTGTGTGTGT